TCTATTTTTTGTTTTTTTTTTTTTTTTTTTGGTGTAAAATGGTGATCGGGGTGAGCCCCGACATGAATAAAATAAGTTGGTGTGCAGTTCATCTTCTTCCTCGGTGTTGTTTTTTTTTTTTTTTTTTTTTTTTTTTTTTTTTTTTTTTTTTTTTTTTTTTTTTTTTTTTTTTTTTTTTTTTAAAAAAAAAAAAAAAAAAAAAAAAAAAAAACTAGCAATGATGAAATGAGAAATTTTATGAATTGTGATTTATTATTTTCCATTTCCGGTGTTTCTGCTTCTTCTGCACAGACTGTTCTTACAAGGCGTAACAGCATCACCGGGGTTGAGTACAAGGATGACCCAACGATAATGGCTTGGGAGCATAGCCTAGGTGCACTACTGATACCTCAGGAAGTACCATCCAGGTTAGTCATTATTACCTCTTCTCAAAACTTCATTCTCTACATCTGTATACATATACATATATGTTCATATTTACAATCAATCACTCATTCTGCTACATGGAAAGTTGGAAACAACTATTTTTTCATTTGATTAGCCATATAAAAATTTGAATTTTATTGTACAAAAAGAAATGGGAGGCCTCATGTGGGGAGCTACACTGTTGGAAAATCCGGGAAGTCTCATATTTGACTCTCATGGAACCCAAAACACTCAGATACCTGTGATTTACATGTGTTTGCGCCTGTTCGAAGTTCATCCATATATACGAGGGTAGGTGGGTTGGAGTTCTCCAAACTAAGTCTTAAGTCCCATCAAATAGGGTCAGTTACATGAATCCTTTTTCTCTACGCGACCCTATCAAAGGTCATTTCGTTAGTCAAATTAAGTAGATTTATATCTCTATTTACAACGCTAACTAACGTTAATTTAGGTCTATTCTGTCCCCTAACACTTCCATCTGTCGTTACAGTATCACATCTCTTCACTACTGTCTCTGTTGGTCTCCGTTGAATATAATTTTGTCTTGTCTACTCTTGCCACACATCCACCTTAGCATTCTCTTCTCAGTCACACTTATCTTATTTACATGTTGTTTCTTGGTTGCCTAACACTCCGTCCCATACAACTTCGTTGGTCTAATAGTCGTTCTATAGAACTTACCTTTAAGTCTAGTGGGTATTCGTTTATCGCACAATATCCCAGACACACTTTTCTACTTACACCATTCCGCCTTAAATCCTATGGGCCACACCCGCATCAATCTCTCCCGTTGTTGTGATAATCGACCCAAAATAACAAAAATGTTCACTCTTAGGCAGTTCTTGGTTCTCAATCTTTTACTTCTCCTCTACTTTCATTGTTACTGTTACTAAATTTACACTCCATGTATTCTGTCTTCGTTCGGCTTATCCGGAATCTTTTAAATTCAAGAGTTTTTCTCCAAATCTCCAACTTTGTATTAACTCCTTCTCTAGTCTTATCCACTAGCATTATATCGTCTGCAAAAAGCATATACCATGGCACATCATCCTGGATATTTCTCACCAACTCATCCATAACTAAAGCAAAAAGATAAGTATTTAAGGTAGATCCTTGGAGGAACCCTACAGTGATAGGAAATTTATTTGTCTTTCCAGTAGGCGATCTAATAGTGGTCACCACCCCTTCATACATGTCCCTAATTACATCAATGTAACCTTTTGTCACTCATTTCTTCGCTAACACTCATCATATTATATCCCGAGACACTCTATCATATGATAATCAGAAAATTGATAATTGATAATCAGAAAGCATCCATTCTCTAGTTTTAATAATCTGTCTTTTCTGTTTATTTAAGCTATTTTTATCTCATAAACTATAAATGAAAATTACATCAAACACTCTTGACACAGATTCTCTAAATAAAAATAAATTTTGCGGCACCGTAGGAGAGGTTTAGCTTAAGAGTTAGGGTTAGATTGCCTTTTTCTTTCTTGCAGACTATAAAGAAGAATAAAAATACAGCTTTTCAATACTTTACTGAATTTCTGTGACAGGGTTGGATTACAGAGATGGCTTTATACTTGAAATCCATAGACAGTAATCACTTACTTGAAGCTGGTCTGGAAGGATTTTATGGACAAACAGCTTCTCAGAAACAACAATTCAATCTGAATTTCCAAGTTGGAACCGATTTTATTGCAAATAATCAGATCCTCGGCATTGATTTTGCTACAATTCATTCATACCCTGATGTATGGCAAGTATCAGAGCAAAATATATTCTGGGGCAGAAAGAAACATCCTTTATGGTTATTCCTGACACGAATTTGTTTATATTTTTGATGATCAGGTTACTAGGAACAAGCGATGACAGCCAAATTTCATTTTTGAACAATTGGGTCAACACTCATATTCAAAATGCGCAAAACATACTAGGAATGCCACTTCTTGTCAGTGAGTTTGGAAAATCATGGAAAGATCCGGGTTTTGACACACAACAAAGGGACATTTTGTTCAAAACAGTCTACTCAGCAATCTATTCGTCTGCTAGTGGTGGAGGTGGAGGAGCAGCTGCCGGAGGAATGTTCTGGCAACTTCTAACTGAAGGAACAGCAAGTCTGATTGCTCAACAGTCGCAAAAACTCAAGAAGATTCAAAAGATGTATGTTAGGTTGAGGAATGTTGAGATATGGAGGAAAGCAAGGGATATGAACAAAAGGGGCAATACTGGAAACTGAAAAACCACGTAGTAGTAATCTAAAAGTATACAAAGCTAATGTTACATTTCTGTTGAGGATTTTCAATTTTAATGCTATCTTATGGATTCATATGTTTATACAAGAGAGTAGATTGATAAGTTTGTGTAGTTTTTATATACTTTCAACAATGTCTTTACAATACTTAAATGGAATCTAAAATACATAAAATAAAAAGTAAAGTACTCCATGATTTATTGTAAAACTACACTGTTAAACTACATCTCAAAATCCCTTCTTACATACGTGAAAAAAAAGGTCGTAATTTACATATAGGAGCAACCCTTTTAATGGCATTTTATTGCGAAAAAGACTAAAGCTGTAAACCAGAACCAGAGGTTTTCACTGGACAAGATTTCATATGATGGTTCGATCTTTAATAGTTGCATTCTTCAGTACCACTGTGATCCCGGATCTAATGTAGAATCCTTCATCTGGTCTTTCTGCTTCCTCAACACCCTGTGATATCAAATCATTTAATTTCATAGCTTCTATCAGTAGTAAGTAAAATGCAATAATATGCAAAATGGATATACTTACATCTGTATTTGCAATGATCACATCTCTTCCTATCTTGGCATTCTTGTCAATTATGCAATTCCTTCAACAAAATTGACAAAGGATTTTCAGCAACCACACAAATTAGCTAGTTTTTTCAGAGTGTAATGGTATCGTTCACGTATTTCACCTGATCTTGGTATTCCGTCCAACACCAATGGGAACCTTTCCCTCCGCTAACAGAGATGCAATTTCAGATTCAGTTTGATAGTAGTCTGCACCCATCATCATCGTATCCTGGAAGAGAAAATATTTTATGCACCATCAAATATAATCAGCATTTACTCCAAAAGTTGGAAGAAAAGCTGGCTCCAAATCGACCAAGCAAGCTTTTGAACAAAAAATATAACTCACCTCAAGCTCAACACCAGTCTCTAAACGTGAACGAATACCCACTATGGAGTGGTGGACATTAGATTCGTGCAAGAAGCACCCGTGTGAAATTATGGCATCCACAATCTGCAAGAACAAGTTTATAATTACAACATGAACGAATCACAGATAAACCACAAATGAGCTTGATATTACCAAAATACCTTGCATTTTTCCATTTTAGTCGGTGGCAAGAACCTAGGAGATGTAAAGAAAGGTGTCTTCGGGTCATTAAAGTCAAACATTGGAGGCTGCATGAATATATAGTCATTTCAAATAAGTAAAATTGGAAAGAAAAAAAAAATGGCAGTGGAAATTATTTTGTTTATCAAATTCACATGTAGGTTTCAAATTCTTCATGAGCATTGAAGTCAACTCGTGTTCTAAATTTGGATCACATGTGTCGAGTGATGAAAGGTCCTTGTGATAAGAGAGAACTAACCTGCTCTGTAAGGGCCAAGTTGGCATCAAAGAAAGACTTTATTGTCCCGATGTCCTCCCAGTAGTCCTTGAATAAATATGCCTGAACAATTCAAATGCATTAAAAAAGAGATATTTAATCAAAAGAGAAAATTGATATTATTAACATTAAACGCTCTGTAGATCACCTGGACATTATGATCAGACACAGCAGAAGGAATGATTTCAGAGCCGAAGTCATTGCTTGTAGGGTACCTCCACCTCAAAAGCTTTAGTAAGACATCAGTTCTAAACACATAAACACCCATTGATGCAATGTAGGGGTAGTTTGCAGCAGCTTTCTCAGAGAGTCCGAGGACAGAGGTGTCAACTTGCTGGAGTGTAATTTCAAATAACAATATTAGATAATCAAGACCCATACATATGAGAATAATTACTTGGTGGTTGCTAGCAATTGGGATAAAAACAGAGGTAAAAACATGGTGATTATCAAACTAATTTGGATGTACCAAGAAACCAATCCATTAGAAAATGTGAACAACCAATAGATCAACCTACCATTTGTTTCAGTGCAGGGCCTTTTGGTTTCTCAGCAAAGTTGATGATACGTCCTGTTTTGTCAATTTTCATCAGTCCATAATCTGATGCTCGGCTGCAAAACAAAATCAATATCGATATGAACTTCATGACCCATTAAAAAAAACTAAATTCCCTACATGATCAACAAGTTTGCTTTCAAATTGAAGCAAGAGGCCTTCATTGATAAAGTATTGTGATTTGAATGGCCCGAGATTGAAAAATGAAATCAAATTGAACCTAAAGTTGAATAACATACCTATCATTCATGGGGACACATGAAACCGTGATATCAGCATGTGTATCAATATGTTTCTGCAATCACATTGCTTGTTAAACCAAACCAAACCAAGCCAAGCAGTGTGTCCCAATCCACATCTCTCATTGATAAATGTAATAAATACATAAGAAAAGTACCTGCACAAAGTCCATATAATCCATCCTGTAGAGATGATCACCAGACAAAATCAATATGTTCTCCACATTCTTGTTCTTGGCATCCTATAAGAATCATGAAAATCAGAGTCAGTACTTTTCAAAGAGAAACCATCACAAATGATAATGAATGATTAGAAGCACCCACCTCAAATACCCATATGAATTGCCGCACAGCATCTGCTGTTCCTTGGAACCACTTTTTTCCAGCTTCTCCCGGTGTTTGGGTGGCAGCCAAAACCTGTTCCCAATCAAAAAACTCTTTGAGACGCCATTTAATTCACACAAAAATCATCATCCGAAAGAATACATCAGAAAAATTATCTTCAAAAGGCAATTCAGCTAATAATATGTATTTCCTAAGAACAGCAAAAACTTGACACAGTTTCAAGATAAAGATGAAGTTTGACTTTCATAACCATTTTTTTGTTCCACCCAATGACTTCTACTTCGCCTAATTCATCTCACCTCCACGAAACCATCCCCAAAGGTGATGCCATTTCCCAAGTTATATGTGCGAGCAATATGACGATTGAGGGAAAAAGAATTGAACTGAGTGAGGATGAAAATCTTTCTTATGCCACTGTTGATGCAATTACTCATGGGCACATCAATCAGCCTGTAACAACCTCCAATCGGAACCTGCAGGAGAAAAAACACGATCACTATACAAATTGAATCTAACTTTTTATGCATGAGATTCTTAATTGACAATATTACAATCAAGAAAAAGTGTAAAGAGTATATGGGTTTCTCTTACAGCTGGCTTAGCTCTTCTACTAGTGAGTGGAAAGAGGCGAGTCCCCGCGCCTCCACCCAATATGATCGAGGCTACATTCCTCGGTTCTACTTTTGGATACTCAAATGATGGTGCCTCAAATGTCTGAAATCAGTACACATTTCACCAATAGTGAGATTGCATATAGACCCACAAGAAAATAATAAATAACATCCCAATGCAATGGATTTAACACTATATCATGACAACACAGACTAGATGTCAAATACTAATAGGAAATTTAGGACAAAATAGCCAATTAATGAAGGAAACAGAAGAGTTGCTGCTTTGTGTTGACTCACCAGAAGTTCTTTGTTAATATCTGATGTAAGAACAGAGAAAACCGTCCCAGGTTTAACCTTGGAGTCTCTACTTTCAGCCCTAAAGGTTTTCCGTAACTGAGTACCCAAAATCTTGCTATTCAGACTCCCCCTTATTCTCTCACCCCAACACCTATAATCTCCTCTCCCACCTTGCACTGTGTGGACATTAGCTTTCATGGCGACACAGCAAGAATCCATTGCCATTCACTGAGAAGGTACTGTTTGCGGAGACAAAGTGATAATGAAAAGACCAGAGAGTTTGGAATCTTGTAAAACCCAGCCACATAAACTTACTAAAACAGAAAAGCAAAACTACTTTTCCTAGAGATCCCAAGCTTTCCAAGAAAATGCCAATAAAATATGAACAAGTGGCTATACAGTAAAATGGTTTGAGACTCAAATCCTAAGAAATCAAAACCAGAAATACCCGGATCAGAAAAACTCCCAATTAACAAGAAAAGATTAACTCGATAGAAAAAGCAATTACATTCTTTTTTTTTAAAAAAAAAAAAGGGTATGTAAGCTAGCCCAATGTCGATTTACCCAATGAGATTTCTTGTTTTAGAGTTCAAATAAAAGTTTAGATCCAAACCCAAAACGGTATTGATTGATGCGAGAAGAGGGAAGGGAAGTGGGAGGAGTGGTGATTAGTGATTGGGTTGTAACTTTCTTGTGAAGAACTTCACGAGAGATTCAGAAAAATTGGTTGGTATTTCAATCCAGAGTCCACATTTAAAAGCGTGTGAACCTCCTCACTCTGCTCTGCAGTTGTTTCTGTCTCTGAGATCAGAATGCGGTTCTGGTTCAGACTTCTATGCCATTATTGCGAGGTGTCCATTTTAACGTGGGAGACTTTTCTATTTCAATTATGGCAGTCGCTTTGGTCCAGTCCAAGGTCGGACTGGACTTAGGACTTAGGGTTGTGAGGATTCTTTATGGGTTTCGTTTTGATAATTCGAATTATTAATATGTAGAACTCATTAAGTACTATATGTTTGTAAAAAATCACATTGATCGGATATCGATAACTATGTATACAAAACAGTTTTTTATCAACCGTTAATTGTTTCACCGTCCATTTTTTTTATATAAAACTGATTTGATCACATAGCTATTAATATCCGATCAACGTGATTTTTTACAAGCATATAGTACTCGACAATTTCTACACATTGAACGGTTCGGATTATCAAAACGGGCCCAAAAAATGAACCCCATAGACCGAACTGGACGGATCCAGTCTTAATCTCGACTTAAACCAAGCTCGACCCTTCAATTATAATCCGGTCGTATTATATATATTAATTAGTTTACATATTAGTGTATTAATTAATGTTATGATACTCTATTTATTATATAAATTATAAATGTTTAAAATTTTTAAAATTATGACATATCACTAGTTGATATTAATCTAATTAATCCATATAATATTATTCATTCTAATCAGTTGCATAATATTTATTTAGATCTCAATTTAATGATTATCTAATTAACAAAATCTTAGTTAAACACCATTATTTTATAGGTTGGGATTCTCTCTCTTTGCTAATTTCAACTTGAGGGTCATGTTATTGTTATGAGTCCATCATAGACCAAGATAATGATTTGTATTACTCATTTTATTAGGATTCTTCAAATATATTATTTAAATAGAAAATTAAATTATTTGAACAATTATTTTATCAAAATAAATATGATTCTATCATATTAATATAGTTATCTTATCAATTAAAAGTAATAGCACTTGTGTTTGAGTGTGAATTATTTTTTAAAATTTTTTAATTTATTACGAAAAAAAAGTGTAAAAAAATATAAAAAAATAATATGACAGAAACCAGTTAATAAAATAATAAACAACTTATTTGACTTATTGTCAAACTCAACCACCAACAAGAGAGAATCCCTCTCCTATTTTTTAATTTTGACTTGCTAGATGTTAGAAATTTAGTTTAACCATTCTACTACTAATATTATACTAGATTTGAGTAATGAATATGAAAACATATTTTCATGTTAACATTAAATTTTAAATTAAATTTAGTACAAAAGTTGTTCAACATTCAATAATAAGGCACACACACTTTAGCAAAAAAACTCACTTTAATAGTGTCTTATATTATTCTTAAATAACATAGTGATATTTTTATGTTATACCGGGACAATTTGGGAAGCTAGTTAAAAGTTAACTTGTACCTTTTAACTGATTTTGGATCACATCACCTCTCATATTTTTTACATACAAAATGACAAAAAAATAAAAAAGTCAAAAAATCAACTTTTAACTAAGTTTTCAGGTCTCCCTGACTACATTTTTTTAAAATAAAAATAACTTCCATGATATTATAATTAAAATTTAATTTATGAATAATTTACAGCTATATTATTTGAAAATAAATTGAGTGAAAGTTAATATGACACAAATAAATTAAATATAAAGATAAAAATACTTTTCTTCCTTTCTAAGGGCATATTTCGGTGTTTTACACGCAAAAATAAATAAATAGAGTTACTAATTGGCCTATCATCACTAATTTAATAGATGCTTTACTTTTGTTAAGAGATCAAAAGAGTTCTTTTATGTACATCGAATGAAATTCATAGAGTGAAATATGAGAATATTGTGTTTGATTTTATTATTGAATTCTCTCTTCCTAGTGTTTTTTATATTAAAAACTCTAACATTAGCAAAACTTTACAGTCTATTTTGGAAAGACGGTAAAAAGTAATTTTTTGATTTTTAACTAAGTTTTTGGCTTTTTCAGACAAATGATTTGGAAAGTTAATAAAACGTTGCTTTTGACTTTTTTTATTAATATTTGTTTATGATGTCAAATCATAATAAAATGACCAAATTACCCCAATTTAGTTTAAAATATTTACAAGTTCACCCATATAACATATTTTGACCCATGAGGGGTAGAATTATAATTTCATCATTGGCTAAAAACCAACTTCCCAAATGAAAAAAAAAATATTCAAAAAAGTCAACTTTTAACTTTTACTACAAACCAAAAAAAGTGACTAAAAGCCAACTTCCCAAAACAAGCCACAATTGTGTTCAATTATATATAGAAAAATGTTTGAGGGCCACAATTGTGGCCACAAAAATTGTGGCCCTCTAGTATTGTTGTTATATATATGGCCGCCCCCCCTCACACACTCTCAATCAGTGTACTACATGAGCCTTTTCTCATTGGACTCATCTCATTTGATCACATCATGCCTGCCATGAAATTAGGGCGAACACTGTAAAGCCACAAAAGATATTCTTTTTTTTTTAGATCCAAATGAAGAGTTTAGACAAACAACACAAAATAACAGATAAGACTAGGGAACCTTAATCCCTTCTATAGCCAACATGAAGCAAGTCAGGAGTTAACAAAGAGATGATGGAAACAGGAGGGTCTTCCTTCAAAATGAGGTGTTCGTGTTGATTTACTCCTAAGTTAGCCAAAGCATCTGCATATTGGTTTGCTTCCCTGTGAATTGTTTCAATAGTGCATTGGCATCTTCTAAGAAGGAAGTTAGCATCTCCAATGAGAGCCCTGTAAGGAGAGTTTTTCCTAGCTCCACCTCTGATAAGTTCCATGGCCAGTTGGGAGTCAGTTTCAATTTGGATGCTGGCCAAGCCCTTTTGCAGAATGATGGTTAGACCCCAGTAAATGCCCTATAATTCAGCTTCCAAGCTAGAATAGTTGCCTAAGTAGCCATAAAATCCCCAGATCCAGGTACCAACTTCATCTCGGAGCAATCCTCCATAACCTGATTGTCCAGGATCCCCTTTAGAGCTTCCATCAGCATTCATCTTGAGCTTACCTACAAGAGGACAAGACCATGACATTAGTGAAGGTTCCTTTAAAGTTTAGGTGAAGGAAGATCTGGAAGGCTGCCTGTGTTTCCAAAGCCTTGTTCAAAATAAAGTTCACACTGGTGTGAGGAGGTTGAGTAATGTTCTCAAACACTTCTTTGTTTCTCTCTTTCCATATGGTCTATAGAGTTATCAGAAAAACTGTCGGCTATTGAATATCATTAATGAGGTCCTTGCTTTTGAGATTAACCCTGATCCAATCTTGCAGTGTAGTATGTTAGCTTTGTTGCCACCAAGGAAGGTTTCTCAGGTTCACCTATAATACCTTAGCTTTGGGGCAGTTTATGAGAAGGTGAAGCATGTCTTCTCTAGTGGAGTGGCATCTGGGGCAAGTATCTGATTCAGAGAGATGTTTAATTAACCTCATATTATTGGTGAGCAGTCTTTCATGTATGACAAGCCAAAGGAAGCTTCTAAGTTTGTGAGGTGCCTGGATTTTCCATATCCCAAACCAGTTGGTTCTATCAAATTCAGAGTTGGCTAGAGCTTGGTAGGCTGCTGCTATGGAATAATTGCCACTGGAGGAGCCCCTCCACTGAGGTGTGTCATTATAGATAACGTACCTGGGCCTATATATTCTAAGGATGGCCTCTTTTTCTTGAGTGGATATGAGGTGCTGGATAGAGGTTAAATCCCAATTGCCCTCTTCATCAATAATGAAGCTGACTTTGGTAGCTGCTTTAATATGTGCTCCTTGGTTTAATAGGCTCAGGGGTTGGTCTCCACACCATCAATCTGTCCATAGAGAAATCAGCTCCCATGTTCCAACATTCCATTTAATGTTCTTCTCCGAAACAATTTTGTTTGTTATAATACTACGCCAGATGTGGGTAGCTTTCCTAGCATTGGGCCAAGTAGACAGAGAATGGTGTTTAAGATATTTGGTTTTGAGAATGGTACACCAGAGCTCTTCAAAGTTAATGGCAAGTTTCCACCCTAATTTAGCAATAATAGCAGAATTCTAAGCTCTGATATTTCTAATTCCTAAGCCTCCATGCTTCTTGCTTTTGTACACTTGTTTCCAGTTAACAAGGTGGACTCTCTTACGAGTGTCAGTGCTGCCCCAAAGAAAGTTTCTGTTAAGTTTCTCAATTTGGTCACAGGTGTGCTGAGGGATTTCCATAGTTTGCATAAGGTGATTAGGCATAGCCGAAGTAACAACCTTTATCAAGGTTGTTCTACCAGCAAGGGAGAGGTTTTTGGCTTTCCATCCAGAAAGTCTTTGAGCCATTTTGTCAAGGATATCTTGAAACTGGTTTTTAGAAACTCTATTGTGGAGAATAGGGGTGCCCAAGTACTTACCCAAGTTGTTGGTGAGAGAGATACCACAGGTGTAACTTAAGGAAAGAGTTTCTCTTCTAGGCACATTAGAGGAAATGAACATTTTAGATTTTTGTAAATTAATTTTTTGCCCAAACATTTCACAAAATTTAGATAATACATCCATAATGCAGGCACAGTTTTTTCTAGTAACTCTAGCAAAAAGAATAAGATCACCAGCAAAAAACAAATGGGAAATGGGAGGGCTATCCTTAGAAGCCTTAAGTCCCTCACATTCTCCATTATCAGACTTGGATTTGATCATATTAGAGAGGTTCTCCATGCAAAGAACAAACAAATAAGGAGATAGAGGATCGCCTTGATGGAGACCTCTACCTATAGTTATGTTGGAGAGAGTCTCACCATTCCAAATAATAGCAGAATTGACATTAGACACACAATTCATAATAACAGTGATCCAATCAGGATTGAGATTAAGCTCTTTGAGGGAATGAAGGATAAAGTCCCAGGATAAGCGGTCATAGGCTTTCTCAAGATCAATTTTAAGAACCATGCCCCCAGTCTTACCTTTTTTTTACCTCTAAGTGTGCACAGGATCTCTTGAGTGATGATGATGTTATCATGTGTTCACCTCATTTGGGTCCCCAATCCATTGAAAAATGTTCTAAATGCT